TGTGAACGAGAGCGTAAGATACAAAGAAAGATCCAATAATTCTGAATTCTGAATCATAACATCAACAAATAAGTATCGGTGTTCTAATTTCATATGATTGATCATTTAATATTTCCGCTTACAAATGAAGGATTTTGCGCATTCCACCCAAATTAAGGGTTTTGCGCATTCCACCCAATGTAGGGACTAAGCTTACATTATGACTCAATTATTTATGGTTAATATGTGTTTACAAATTTTGGATTTTGGTTTAATTTAAATCATTCAAGTAATCAATTTTCAATGGTATGGCTAAATCCAATTAAAGTTAATTTTTATTAATTATAGTACTGTATGCTTATTATGTTAATTTTATTAATTATGATATTTTATTGTAATCAAATTTTTTACTAACTATGGCACCGTATGGTTAATATGTTAATTTTATTAACACGAATAATTACTTTTTAGTTCATAATGTATGTTCTATGAACAATTGATCATAATCTATAATCATTACTTTTATGTTTCATACAAGCTCGATTCGAACTATTTGGGCAATGTTAACACTAGCAAGATGTCAACCCTAACCCTAATTTCTTCCATCCTTTTCAAGATTTTCATCAATTCAAAGTTGCATGCTTCGATTCCGTGAAGATTAGGGGATTATCTTCGACTTAAATTCCTAGCTTTCGAGTTTAGGGGCCTTGGTAATCTTCTGGTTTTTATTTGCATCGAGACAGCGGTGTTACCATGATTTGGGAAAGGGTTTCCGGTAGAAAGGTTATAAGCGGAAGTTTTTCAGTTTGGAAGGAGAACAAAGGAAAAAGGAGCTTCTTCTAGTGAAACTACAACTTCATTTTTTGTCACTGAGTTTCCTGAAAACATGAATGCTAAAGACCTATTTGAGGTATTCAAGGTCTATGGAGTCATATCAGAAGTTTTTATTTCTACTAAGAGAGATAAGCGAGGTAATAGATTCGGTTTCGCCAAATTTTGGAAAGTTCATGATCCAAGAATCCTGGCCTGTAACCTTGATAGCATCGTCTTGGAAGGGCAAAAAGATTTACGTTAATATACCCAGGTTTAGTAACGAGAACAAAAGGCACCTTCCTGTTAGTGAGAAGAACAAAAGGCACCTTCCTGATTGTGAAAATTTGAGGAGTAACATTCAAACTGGTTGTACCAAGAACTTCATGAAACTTGATAACCTGGTTAGAGGAGATTACCCTAAGTCTATTGATAGGGCCAAGGTAGGAGGTCAATGCACAAAACTTGAGTTGGATGATGAATGTTAAAGGAGGTTGAATCGTATGAGAGTGGGTGAAGTCATGGAGGGTGGTAATGCTTTCAACATTCAGAAGTTAATTTTTGAAGAAGGTTGTTTTAACATTAAGGTTACTCCCTTAGGAGCTTCTTTGTGTTTGTTGGAAGACACATCAGGAGGAGACTTAGAAGTGTTTGTCAAGGAAGCTAGATTATGGCTAGATATCTGGTTTAGAGACATCCGCAAGTGGCATATGGAGGAAATTGACAGAGTCAGGATAGTGTGGGTAAACTGCTATGGTCTACCTTGTGTCTCCTGGAGTGAGAAAAATTTCAGGAAGATTTCTTCCAGTCTTGGATCGTTTGTCAAATGTGATGAAAAACCGAGTAACAAAGAGACATTGGACATAGCGAGACTTCTTATTAAAACAAGACTCTGGATTATTTTGAATAACTTGGTTGACATTGAAGTGAACAATCACACCTTTTCACTTTCATTCATAGAAGACCTTTCGTGTGAGAGTGGAGATCCTTTGTTTGGTGAAGAAGATGAGGTGATAGATCCCGATGAATTTGACTCCTCAAACCCTTCAGACTTAGAGGGCGCGTGGGAGATACCTGAAGAGGAAGAAAGTGAAGATCTCAAATCCTAGTACTCAAAGACAGAAGCCAAAGCACCTAATACTGTTGTCCAAAAGATAGATGGTGACTTTTCAGTGTCAGACAACGTATCAGTTGTTGGGGATAGCTTATGGTTTAGTGTGGAAGGTGGTGGGTCAAGAAGGAATAATCATAAGGTTTCAGCCGCTCTGATTAGTTCAGAAGGAACTAAACTAGATAACTTTCTGGCTGACCTAGAACTTAATCAGTCCAAAGCAGATTTTGAGGTACCCAGTCTTAATGGGGAATTGGTGGTAGCTCTGGGCCTGCCTCATCCAATTAGTGGGCCTTCTGGAGGAGTTATTGGGCCTGCTGTTAGAGGTAAAGCTAAAAAGAAAAAATCTCTTCATGAGGTTTATAACTGCATTAAAATACCCTACACCCTCTCATATTTTTCCACTCTGCTTCTCACGGCCCCCAAGGAGAACCTTATACCTGAGTCGAAAGGAAAAGCTAGGGAGGAAAGTAAGAAGAAAAAGTTGTATAAAGAACTTTCAGGATCTAGTTCACCTCTATTGTGCTGCGAGTCGATAACCGACACTGACGTGGAGAGGGGTAACTCGAGATGCAGAAGGGCCATTGTCGAAGTTCCATCTAAATTGGTGATTTTCTTAAAGTTTTGGGAATTCAGGGCGAAGATGAAGAGGTTATTGGGCGAACTCTGAGGATTTTGGATAATGCAGATAAGGATGCTGGTCTAGGCAAGAAGGATGTAGCTATAATTGATCCATGAATTTAATTTCTTTCAATGTTAGAGGTTGTTGTAGTTCCGTCAAAAGAAGGAGAATAACTCAAATTATTCAGAGAGGAAGCGCTAACATTTTCCTCATTCAGGAAACCAAGGTTATCAAGATGGAGGCTGGTATTATTTATAGCATGTGGAGGAATTTTGACTTGGATTGGTCAGCTCAGAACTCTGTTGGAAACTCTGGTGGAATTCTAACCATGTGGAATACTGCTAGAATCTCTGCTTGTTTTAGTTTTTGTGGGAAAGGATTCTTAGGTCTAAACTTTGTTTGGAATAATCATAGGTTGATGGTGATCAACATTTACGCTCCTTATGGATTAGTTGATAAGAGGAAGCTATGGAGAGATCTGATTAAAATTAAGAACAATTACTCTGATGTTGGTTGGATTGTGGGAGGGGATTTTAACGCAGTGAAAAATAGAGAGGAAAGGAAAAGCCTAAGTGGTTATAACAGCAGGGATATGAAGGAGTTCTATGAATTCATTGAGGAAATGAATTTGGCGGATCTACCGGTGTTTGGAAGCCGTTTCACTTGGTTCAACTCTAACGGTAAGAGCATAAGTAGACTGGATAGAGTTTTGGTTAATGATAGGGTTATATCAATGTTTTCTTTGAAGAATCAAGTGGTGGGGGATAGAGACATATCAGATCATCGACCGGTGTGGTTGAAGTCCAATTTCATCAATTGGGGACCAAAACCATTTAGGACTTTCAACTGTTGGTTCTACCACAAGGATTTCATCCTTTCGTTACGAAATCCTGGCGCTCTTACCAATTCACAGGTTCATACTGCAGCATCCTTACTAATAAATTTCAAGCTCTTAAATCTGACCTCAGGATATGGAATCTCAAAGTGTTTGGTTGGCTGGATTTGAACATTGAGGATAATATCGCTAAGTTCAACAAACTGGAATTGGAATCAGTCGAGGAGTCTAATCCGCAATATACTAATATGGACAAAGAGAAGCTGCGATACCAGGAGGAAATGTGGAAGAATATGCGAATCAAAAAAAGCATGATAGCCCAGAAATCCCGGGTTAGTTAGCTCTAAAATGGGGATCTTAATACCAAATTTTTTCATGACTCCCTTAAATCCAGGAATCGGTCGAATCGTCTCTCACCTGTTAGAGTGGGAGGCAGGATTGTGGAAGACCCTGAGAATATTAAGTTTGAAGCGGTGAAGTTCTTTAAGAGTAAATACACGCAATCAAATTCGGCAAAATTCAGAAGTGATTTAGCTTTGGCTGCCTGTCTTGATGAGGAAGACAAACTGCTTTTGGAAGCAGATTTTAGCACTTCTGATGTAAGAAAGGTTGTCTTCAGTTGTGGCAGTAACAAATTCCCCAATGTCGATGGATTTAACTTTAAATTCATAAAATCTTGCTGGGAAATAGTTGGTCAGGACTTCTCGAATTGCATCTTGGATTTCTTCAAGACAGGAGTTCTCCCTAAGATGTTTGGGTCCTCTTTCATTTCGTTGGTACCGAAGATTTCCAACCCGCAACAGTTTGAAGATTTCAGGCCAATTACTCTAATTAGCTATATCTCCAAGGTTACCTCCAAGATGCTTACTTGCAGAATGAGCAAGGTTATTCATAAACTTATTTCTCCTTCTCAAACAACTTTCATCCTGAGTCAGCAAATTCACGATGGGGTTCTATTGGACAACAAAATAGCAGACTATGCTAAGAGATTTAAAAAGGAATGTCTGTTTTTCAAAGTTGACTTCGCTAAAGCCTACGACTGTGTCGACTGGATTTACCTAGATGAAATGCTTGTCAAGATGGGTTTTGGTCCTAATTGGTTAAAATATATTCGAGGATCCGTGTTCAATAGTTTTGTTTCGATTCTTATTAACGGAAGTCCTTCGAAGGATTTCAAGGTTAGAAGGGGTCTGAAGCAGGGGGACCCTTTGGCTCCATTTCTGTTTGCCATAGTAGCAGAGGGCCTGTCTTGTTTAGTCAGAGCCGCAGCTACCGGTAACTTGTTAACAGAATTCAAGATCAATGATCAAAATTCTGAGAGCATGCTTCAGTTTGCCGATGACACTCTGCTTATAGAAGATGGTTCGATTATGAATATATTGGCTCTCAAGGCTGTCCTGGGCGCGTTCGAATTGATTTTTGGTTTGAAAATTAATTTCTCTAAAAGTTGTCTTTATGGGATAGGAGTAGACCCTGCTTTCCTTGTTGCAACTGAAGAATTTCTGCACTGTAAATCTGGCAGGCTGCTGTTCTGTTTTCTCGGTCTTCAGGTAGGATGAAATCATCGTCGACATTCATTCTGGAATCCGGTTCTGTCTCGTATGAGGAGTAAACTATCAAATTGGGCTAGGAGAAATCTGTCAATGGGAGGTAGAGTATCCCTCATTAACTCGATTTTAGCTAACTTGCCTATTCATTACTTGGCTTTCTTCAAGGCTCCCAAGAAAATCGTGAACGATATTATCACAATCCAACGGCGTTTTCTTTGGGTTAGGAATTCTAGTAAAAAGTTCATCTCTTGGATATCTTGGAACTCCATCTGTAAGACGAAGGAATACGGAGGTCTTGGCATTAAACACGTAGGCCGTTTTAATTGTGCTCTTATAGAAAAATGGTTGTGGAGATTTCAAAGCAGTGGAAATGAAATTTGGAGAAAGACGCTGAATCTCAGATATGGTAACTTGAGCATAAAGGTGCAAACTTTCGCCGACGTCGGTAGCTCGAAATTCGACTCTCTTTGGATGAAGGATATTCTGTCAAGTTCAACCTGCAACTTCAATGTGGACTTCTGCAAGTTTACGGCTTGCACTATTAGAGAAGGTCACAATACGACGTTTTGGCAATCTAATTAGATTGGAGATTTATCGCTTAAAAGTAGGTTTCAGCGGCTGTTTCAGGGTTGTTCCATGAAAGTTTCGACAATCAACGAGATGGTAAATTGGGAGGATGGTCAGTGGGTTTGGAAAGTTAGAGAATCGTTGATAGATGAGGGATCCAATTTTGAACCAGAATGGATAGATTGTAGTGATTTGTTGGATCAGGTGGCAGCCAACATCAATGTCACCGATAATTGGAAATGGCTTCTTCATGATTCACTTTCGTATAAGGTGAGCTCTTTCTATACTGCTTTATCCTCTTCTGCTTCTGTTCACAATATTGGTAGTGATAGTGATACTCTTTTGGAGATCCTTTGGGAAACGGTGTTACCGGAAAAAGTCTAAACTTTTATTTGGAGGTTGGCGCTTGATAGGATGCCTACCACATCTAATTTGATGAAAAGAAGGGTGATTGATTATTCCTAAAATTCGGATTCTGCGTTCTGTTCGTTAATCTATGAGGAGGTTTCACATCTTTTCTTCTCGTGCTCTAAATCATCGTTGGTGTGGAATAGGATTTGCGACTCTCACACCCTCATTTTCGCCTTTAGCCTTTATACCTTACATTCGTCATATCATACATCGTTTTATTGCATATCGAGTATGCGGGTTCAAAAGGTATGGACTAGGTCGGTTTGTTATTTCAAATGAGATAACTTGTCTATCTTGGGCTACATGGAAGAAAAGGTTCATTATCTAAGGTTTGATCTAAATTGAAAAGTTTACTCATCTAGATTTCTTCAAGGAGAAGTTACTTGAAAAAGTATTAGGATATTCAAGATATATTCTTAATGAACGTGAAATTCAAGGCCTAAATTCAAGATTGCTTCATCCAATTTTGTTTCAAATTCTTAATCAAGTGGAGTCCAAATTTGCAAAGCATGAGTCAAGATCACAAGTCCATAATTCAAGACTTCATCCATTTCAAGTTTAATGGCTTTAGGGAAATTCATCATGAATTCATGAATTAGAGGCAAGAATATTACAAAGAGAAATTTTATGACATTACAAGAATGTCATTTGTTGTAAGATTTCCAATTCTAAGTGATGTTTAGAAATTAATTTATTTCTAATCTTCATTCAAGTCTCTAATCAAATTCATGTTATGGTAGTGCCACACCAAGTCCACAATATGTTTACAAAGATCCAAGAAATATGCAAGAATTAAATCAACATTGGAATGTTTTGAGACCAAGAATATGCATGTTTAATCATGTGCAAAACAACCCCATGCAAGAGGAGGCAAATTACCTCATGTCACAAAATCAAGAGAATATCATATGATAATACATCTAAATATCAGATTTTGAAAATGCTGTCAAGAGGTAGTAGCTTTGACCAAGAGGAGCTGTCCAAGCACAAACCAACAAAATGGGTGCAAGGCACAAAGTGTTGCAGAAAAAAACAGCATAGGCAAAGTGCAACAACAAAAATGCAGCATAGCTCTTGCATGGAAATGGAAAGAAAGAGAGTGGCATGAGAAAAGGTGGTAAGAGACACCACTCCATGAAAAATCTGATATGTGGGGATAAGAGAAAACCCTAGAAGAGTTGAGATAAGAGGAGGGGGCTGTAAACAAAAAGAGATCACTCTTCATTCATTCAACATTCATTCTACACACATTGACAAACCAGAAAAAAAGAGTGAGAGCAAGAGAAACCCTAAAAAACCATAAAAATAGAAAGCTTTGCAAGCCAAAAAAAAAAGGAGAGTGAGATAGAACCAAGAGGACCATTAAAGAGCAGAGCCTTCACGACATAGGGGGAAGAGTGAAGCACATTCAACCAAAACCAGGGAGGACTTGCAAGAAGGAGAGAAAGCTCTTGGGTATCCATTCCTTCAAACCTCTTTCTTCTTACTTTTTCTTGCTTTTATACTCATTTCATTTACTCTCTTGTGTGTTGTTGTACTGTATATATCATGTAAGGTCCCAATAAGGACCAAGAAACCATTTTTAAGAAACCATAAAAACGAAAGAAAAACATAGAAAAAGTTAGGGTTTTTGCTCTGGTAGCCTGACACGGGCCGTGTCACACGACACGACCACCCGTGTCACACTTCTGTTGGCCTTTTCAACGTCCAAAAACCCCAGGCCTCACAACACGACCCGTGTCACACAACACGGTCGGCCGTGTTGCACCTCTGTTTGAGGTTTCAACCTACAAAATGCCCAGGACTTATGACACGGGCCGTGTCACACAACACGACCACCCGTGTCACACTTCTGTTGGCCTTTTCAACGTCCAAAAACCCTAGGCCTCACAACACGGCCCGTGTCACACAACACGGTCGGCCGTGTTGCACCTCTGTTTGAGGTTTCAACCTACAAAATGCCCAGGACTTATGACACGGGCCGTGTCACACAACACGACCACCCGTGTCACACTTCTGTTGGCCTTTTCAACGTCCAAAAACCCCAGGCCTCACAACACGGCCCATGTCACACAACACGGCCGGCCGTGTTGCACCTCTGTTTGAGGTTTCAACCTACAAAATGCCCAGGACTTATGACACGGGCCGTGTCACACAACACGGCCACCCGTGTCACACAACACGGCCACCCGTGTCACACCTCTGTCACGCCCTAAAAACCCACATTGCAGGTACCCTATGACACGGGCCGTGTCAGACAACACGGCCACCCGTGTCACACCACTGTTTTGCTACTTTTTTCGATAGTTTACCTCCAAAAAAAAAATTTTCTCAAGGAGTTCGCACGGTGAACTCCTTGATGTGCCGTTTTTTTTTTGCGTGTTTCGATTTTTTTGCCGACTAACACCCTATGTTTGTATGATTTTAGTGTGAATGTTTTTATGGTTCTTGTTGACCTTTGATTCCGAAAATCATTTTTTAAAAAAACAAACTCTCGATTTTATCGAGCCATTTTCACCCATGTAAGTCGATTGCCTTGTGCATCGCCACCGACCTTGTTCGTATCACTTCAAATTCATTTTCACAAACAATAAACCTTGATCCAACATCAAGTGATCCTTTTTCTCAATAGAAATCCAAAAATACAATTAATATATGGTTAAGGTTGTACACCATAGATTTTAAAGTGGTGGAGAAGGGATGAGAATGAAGTCCTCCTACACTCGTTCTGAATGATTTGGATACAAGGCGCTCGACTTGGCTATTCGAAACATTCGTCTCTATCCAAAGTCCTTTTGTGTAATCCTAATCAAGAACCATTTTTATACAAAAAACCTAAAAGTAACATCAACTCATCAAACCTATTTTCGCCTTAGGGCATCAATCCAAAAACCCTTTTTCAAGGTATAAAATCAACCAACAAACAACAATTTCGTAAGCCTCCGAACTACAGAGCTCTGATTCTTCACTTCTTTTAAGTGAGGATACGTAGGCACAAGGGCCACAATCCTTGGCGAGCATTAAAATAAATAAACCAATCCCTCTTTTCCTTAAGCAAGCAAACTGTTAATAAAAACACTCATTCACGCTAAAAAACCTAGGAGGTTCCCATCGAGTATGATGGATGCGAGGGGGTGCTAACACCTTCCCCTGACATAACCGACTCCCGAACCCTAAGACTTGGTTGCGATGACCACGCTCTTTTTTCTAAAGGTTTTATCGCTATTTCCCTTTCCCTCCGAGGGATAAATAAAATCCGGTGACGACTCTGTGTCATTTTTCGCGTAGCGACAGCGACTGGGTGGATATAGAGAACATCTTGGAGGATTGTTGTAGTCTTCATGCAAAGGTCTGGAAATCAAGACTTCTGGGCCGTTGTAAAGAGAACAAGATCCACTCAATTTGGTTCATTTCTTGCTGGAGTTTATGGAGGTCTAGAAATAACATTATTTCCAGTAATGTAACCATTGACGTTGAGGACATTGTTACCGATATTAAAGTTATCTCGTGGAATTGGTTGATATTAGGTAGATAGGATAGTAATCATTGTAGCTTGTATGATTGGTTTAAATTCTTGTTCGATTTTATGTAACAGTCTTGTATTAGGTTCTGTTTGTACTCTTGTTATTCAGAGATTTTCTTAATCTCTTTAATATATTCTTGCTTATCAAAAAAAACAATTGCTCATAATATTTACTCTAATAGTCAAAACTTTCTCTATAATTACCCAAACACAACCCTTTTTCCTATTGTATGACATATTGGGTTATTAGAATACTACGATAGCGCAATTTCAAGTTCTCATATTTGTGTTTAATTGGTTTTTTTTTTCTTTTTCAAGTTAATAATTCAATTCCAGTTTGCTGTGTTTAATTGGTTTTCTTCACGTCAATACAGTGTATATATATAGTTTTATAAGTTTAATATCTAATTTTATTAAACTATTATTTATTAATTGTATTATCATGAAAATTATATTAAATAAATATTAGTTTATGTAAATTCGTGATATATTTGTTTTGTCAAATATTTTGAAATATTATATAATATTCTTTATAATATTGAGATTGATGTTGTTGAAGACAAAATTTATTGGCAATTCTATATTGTTCAAATTCATGATTGGTTCGTGATTAATTTTGGTAAGAAAAATTTGATTCATATGTAAGAAATTATATAAATATTTGTGTGTAATTATTACCAAAGTGAGATCACTCATTTTAATTTATAAGTGTCTCTTTGTAGTTTGATGAATGACTTTCGATCATTACTATGATTGACTTCCCAAAGGAGAACAATTGTACGTGGAGATTGTAACTAACTAAGAATGTAACTATTGGAGATGCTTTGGTCTAGAGAATTTATCTACCCAAAGGGGATATATTTTCGAACCTAATGTATGCTTATTGAGTAACTCATCTGAGGTTCTGGCCTTGGTTGTAACCTGGATTTTGCGCATTCCTTCCAAGGGGATTGTGTGATAATGTTGGCCTCTTCGTGGTAGTTTATGTTCATTAAAGCCATGACTTTCCTTTATTATTTGTGCTTATCCATTCCTATTTTGTCTCAACATTGATCTTCTTTATGAATAAATGTTCTGCTTC